GGGGGGAGTCCCCGGGATCCCTGGAGGGGTTGAAGAGTCGGGCTGAGCCAGCGCTGAGGGATCTGGTGGAGCTGGGAATGGTCAGTGTGAGGCCAATGGTTGGATTGGAGGAGCTTCAAGGGCTTTTCCAACCTTGACGGTTCTGTGATTCTGTAATAAGATTATTGTTATGGTTTTGCCATTTTCTGTGCAACACAACAAAGTTGGCTTTTGCTCTTTGATAAATGCACCTGGAAAGCCCATTTCTGAGGCTGACGAGTGTCCATGCGTTTGATTCTGCTTTTCTAAGACATGTCCCTGAGACTGGTGAACAGAGGGGACGTGCTCGGGACGCCTCGAAGTCTTTCACAACAGGAGCTGGGCAACTGTCTGTGATGATGGCTGGAACATGCAGGATGCCATGGTTGTGTGCAGGCAGCTGGGCTGCGGACCTGCTGTCTCAGCCAATATCGATGCATTTTTGGGGGAAGGCACAGGAGATATTCTCCTGGACAATGTGGCGTGCACAGGGGTTGAGTCCTCCCTGGAGCAGTGCTCTCAGAGGGGGCTGGGCACACATGACTGCTACCACAAGGAAGATGCTGGTATTATCTGTGAAGATACTCACCTTTTCCATTTTCTTTAACATGAATTAAATTTCCTAAGCTGTGCATGCAAGCCAGCATGGGTGAAAGGAGGAGCTTGGCACAAGGTGGGAGCCACTATGGGAACAGGGACTCTTGGCCATGGCCATGCAGGGAGAGAAGAGGCTGATGAGACCCAAAAAGGATGGCCAAGGGCACCCTGGTCACAGATGGGACCAGCCCCCATGGGCTCCACGCATCCTGAGGGCATCCCGTCCTTCCAGCAAGGGGATTCCTCTACCTGGGTCCAGGGGAAGCAGAGAGGGAAGAACAGGGCTATAGGCAGTTTCCTCCAGAGAGGACCACCAGTAGGTTTTGGCAGACCAATCTGGAATCTGCTTTTAGGACAAAGACTATTTGCCTAAAAGCCTCAAAGTACTTGTGTCAGACTTGAAGTTTTATAAACGTCTTTTCTTCTTTTTATGAATTTGTACTCGTTTTCAAAGATCGGCATCATATTTATGTGAAGTTTATTGAGGAAAATTAAGAAAGTTCCTGCCAGCCGAGGATGCACAAGGAAGTTGTTTTGATGGAGGTTCTGGCAGTAGATGAATGTGGTGTGTCTGATCCTAGACATCCGTGTAGGCTGGCAGGCCACTGCATCTTTGTGGACTCGGCTGTTTCTGCCCAAGAGAAACTGAGATCTTATAGGGAAGTGATACTCATGTTGTCCAGTCATACTGAATTATAATGATATTATGATATAATGAATAACAACAGCCATGGCACATATATATTCCTGAAGAAGCAAATAAGGCTTCTACTACCCTTCTGAAGAGGCCCATATTTTCGCTTTGATTTTATTTTTATTTCTTTTCCTCTTCCCCTTTTTCTGGTACCACACACTGTTCTTAGCCGATGGTGACTGACAGATAATTACAATGAATATTTGAGAAACAACTGCAACGAATCATTGACATGCTGTACACAAGCTGCAAGCCCCAGGAGAAGCGTTTAAAGAGAAATCACATTCAGACAATCAGCCTGCATTCCTAATTCACTCAGTCCTGCTCAATCCACCATAGTCTGTGCACTGCAAACCATTTCTCCTCTGGTCTATCAAGAGGCTGTATCGCAGCACAATTTCTTAAACATTTTAGTAATTCACAGAACAATATGTTTGTTTCTCAACTAACCTTCCCAAGCTGCAGGGAATTAATTTAATTTAAGAAGGAGTTCCCGGCGGCTCATCTTCCAGGCTCTGGCAGATCTTGCAGTGGTGGAGCTGCTTCACTGCGAACACCAATCCACACGAGAAGCACCAACAGCGAGGCAGAAACACCTGCAGTCTTCTCCAAGGCTTCAGAAAACATCACCTCAGTCACGGTTCTGGAGAGAGCCCTGACTCTTCAGCTGCTTGTCTCACCTTATAACTGATCGCATTGACCTGGCTTTCCTTCTTTTCATGTTTTTTCATTTTGTCTCCCAACAGTCCCTCCAGAGCCTACCACACCTGAAGCAACAGGTATAGAGTACTTCAGTGTTCACTTATTTACCTCGGGTTTAGTCTAATACAACTTATCCTGCAGCAGAGTGCCAATTCCCCTGGATTTCAGCAGCGTTGAGCTGAAAATTGTGTTCCCTCAGAGGTGAGAGCGCCCTTAGCTCATCACCAGCCCCGAAGGTGCTCGGGTGAACAGGAACTGCTGGTGGGACCTGTGCACAGAGGTGTCCTGCCGCACCGAGCCCTTTTGCCTCTGTGGAGATGCACACAACCAGACACAGGGTTTCCATCCATCCTTAAGGGCGGTGGAAATACCACAAGCTGGTTTACACAAATGACAAATTATGGGGTAAACCGCTGTAACGTAGTTGGATTGGGGATCTCATTATACCATGCCCAATTACACCTAGATTATAACATTACTTTGCTTTGTCAACCTATGCTTTGCTCACTCTGTATTGGAAAAATTACCGAAGCATGGCTTTTATTTTCTCTTTGACAGTCCCGACTGAGACCACAACGGCTGAAACACCAGGTATTTACTTCTGGTCGCTTACTGAACCGTGGTGAGCAGAGGTACTGTCAGAGCATGAGGAACAGCAGGAGCCCTGGCTCACGCCGCGCTCCCAGGCTGAGTTGAGGAATTAACTGCCAGGCACTCACGTTTTCAGTCTCAATTCAGGATTTAGCAGACTACCTGCCTTCCGGGCAAGGCAACGGCGGCTGCCAGAGCCATGCCTTGCCCAAGCTCAGGGTTTTCCAGAGGTGATGCACACCATCGTGCTGGCTGCGTCACCCCAGCGGGTATGTTCGCAGCAATACTGAGGCTATGTTCAGCCATGTAGCCAAGCATTCCCCACTTACTCACATGGCTTTGTGTGATATTGCAAGCAGCCAAGGCTGCTTCTATGAGTCTCAGGGCAAAAATATACATTTAAAATGCAGACAATATTTGATTTCATCTTTTCTTTCTCACAGTCTCTACTACTCCTGAACCAGCAGATGTTACCACTTGTAAGTAATACAGCGTTACTCTGTCTTACATGCTTAGTCGTCTGCCCCAGTTCTGATCACGTATTGACTGGCTCCCTGTCTCCACCGTGTGTTATAATCTCATGGATTTAACCATTAGCTTCAAGGATAACCCCAGTTGCCTCTCCCTTGGCTTCCACACACAATAAAGGAGGGAAAGGGGCTTGGTATTGGTACAGCAGAAACACTTGCACTGATGAAAGCATTAGGGAAGGGGAAACCACTGGGGTAGACACACTACCCCCATCCAAATTCAGATTTGCACTCGATCATCCCACTCCAAGAAAGCCAGCCTTCTGCGCTTCCCACAGCTGCATCCCCATCGCTGCACGAACCGGGCTGTGCTTCTCACCACAACGGCCAAGTTCAACACCTGAGGAGGCGGCAGCACGGGCCTCGCCCCCGTCGGTGCAGCGCTCAGCCCTGCTACGGACACTGCGTATCAGTAACAAAACTTTATCTCGTTGTCCCCCGGCACCCACACTGTTATTTAGCAAACACCCCGCAGGTTTCCAGAGCCTCTCCCTACAGGTCAGCAGCCTGTCGGAGGCCACGGCAGGGGCAGCCTTCATGGGGACGTGGTTTCCTCCCACCAAGGCTGCTCGTGCTCTGGGCAGACTTTGCTAATTAACACCTGCCCTGGGCAGCAGCAGCATCGTCCAGGCACTGTGGCTGATCGCCACTTGAACGAGACCTGCAGGTCTCCTGGGGTCTGGGTACCTCACGCCTTTCCAGTGCTGGCACAAGGGCTAACCTGCAGTTTTGCTTTCTCTCGTGTCTCCGCTCAGCCCCTGCAGAAAACACAACACCTGAAGCAGCAGGTATGTATGACTTTAGCTTTAGTAGATTTGGTCTAACGCTTGATCCTGGAAGTAAACTGATTTGCTCCACATTAACAGGCCTTGCCCCGCTCACACAGTAATGTAACAGTTACTGAGTGTGGCTTTTTCTTTCCCTTTGACAGTCCCGACTGAGTCCACAACAGCTGAAAAACCAGGTACTTATTTTTGATCATTTATTGAACCACGGCGAGCAGTTTACTATTTTTCCTGTGAGTCATCAATCTACTTAAAACATGAACACTTTAATTTCATATTTTCTTTTCTCACAGTAACAAACTCATCCACTCCATCAGCCTTTCCAACTCCTGAAGCAGCAGCCATTACCACTCGTAAGTAATGCAGCATTACTCTGGTTTATGTCCTTAGTTCTCTATCAAAGTCATGATCTGATGACGTGTTGGCATGGCTCCCTGTCTCCACTGTGTGCATAATCTCATGGATCTAGTATTTATCTTCAGGGATAATTCCTCTGGCCTCCATAAAAATCAAGGGATGGAAAATGTTCTTGGTATTGATATGGAAGAAATACCTGCACTGATGAAAGCACCAGGGAAGGGGAAAGCACTGGGCCAGACACACCACACCAGTATAAATTCAGGTTTTCACTCAATAATCTCATCCCAAGACAGTCAGCCTCCTTGTGCTTTCAAAGTTGTGTGCCCCTTGGGAATTAAGTCAGTGGGACTCCTGACACATCCAGTGGTATCTGGTTTGAACCTCAGTTTTCTACAATGTGATTTATCTTTTGAAAAATCTAAACTGCAAGTTCTTCTCATTCACTGAAAATATTCTGCCTCATGCTTAGATAGCAGACTAAGGTTTTCTTTTAAAGTCTGGCCCTATCAGCTACACATCGGTAAAGGCACTTGCTTGCCTCAGTAAAACATATGTACCTGTGTTGGCAACATAAAGAAAACTGAACTTCAGATGCAAAGCATGCATTGGAGCATGGGACTATCCACCTCCACAAAGGAATAAACAGAATTAAATCTTGTTCACATTAGTGCTAGTAGGATGCCATCTTTAGTACTGAAGCCCCTACACTTTTCTTAGTATGAGCCCTTTGTCCATGACACCTCCATTCTTCAGAACTGTTGCTACTAACATTTCCTAGTCTTAATGCATTCAGCATTCAGATTACAATGTATATTAATTAAATTCCTTTGTTTGGTCTTTTTTTTTTTTTTTTTTTTTTTTTTTTTTTTTTTTTTTT